AAAGATGGGAGAAAAGTATAAGACGTTATTTCTTGAAGGGAGAAAATATCTAAGATCTCAAACCCTGAAATTTCCAAATCATTGCAAATATTTTTTGATTTTGCTGAGTTTCTGAAACAAATAGAATTGTTAAGGAAGAAGGTAGAACTCATGTAATACAAAAGCAGTAAAACATAACGATACTGAAAAGGTTCAACACATCAGTCTGGAATGATTTAAAGTCAACAGGATTTCCCTACTTACAGTCTGTCCTGATGCATGATCCAGTACTTGAAATCATGGGTTTTGTCAGTAAAAGTGCCTTTATTCACTTTCAGGGTTTATTTTAAGAAGTGAACTTCTTAAAAAAGGAATCCCAATAACCTCCCGTTTCAAAGAGCTGACTGTGCCGTGTTAATGTGGAATTACCGATACGTTGTGTCCACATTGCCAGTGACTGTTCCAATGTATTCCATCGCAGGGAGTCTGTGCCGGTTGTTCCCGGGGACATCATTCATTTGGAAGGGGGGTGCAGCTCCGGCACGTGGGTCATCAGTGAGCAGTGTGGGTACCTGGTGCTGTACCCAGACCTGCTGCTCTCTGGCACTACGGTATCCAACAGCATCCGCTGTATGAGAAGGGCCGTGCTGAGCGAGCGGTTCAGGGTAAGAGTGAATTCCACACTGTCAGGGCTGTTGATGGCTTACTGCTCAGTATTCAGTCTGGCTCTGATGCTGTACTACAAAATGTCCTTATTAGCTATTCGTAATGTTTTCAACAAATAATAATTGGGGATGGAAACTGTCTCTGGTTGAAATTCTTGGTGTTTTTTGAGACTTGCAGCTGAAATAATCCAGTATTTTTTATACAGTTACTGGTCTAAAGGAGTGGTCTTTCCACTTGAAATTCTGATAACTTCTTTGGTAATCTCTAGCTACATTTTGTGTGGGTATGGATCCTTTGTGTCTTTCTTATGAAAACATAACCACACTTGGCCAGGAGCCTCTGAAAAATAAGACTCTGGATCCAGCTGCTGGACCTTTGAAAGAGGAGAGGATTCTTGTGGCAGTATCCTTGCTGATATGTGGATGGCAGAGAAGCGACAGCTGCCAATCTCAGCTGATGAAAACTTCCAGACAGGATAGGTATATGAATCTAAATGAGTAAGGGAATTGTAATGGAGTGGTAAACAGCCTGGCTGGAAGCCTGTGCCTGAAACAAGAAAATTAAGTACAGGAGATCAAGACTGGAAAATGGTGTCAGCCCCTTAGGAGGGAGAAGTGATGAGAATAGAATAATTGTTTGGGACAATGCCCTGACAACCACTGAGAGTGGGATAACACCATCCACATTGTGAGTGCAATCCACAAGTGACTGATCTATAGGAGATACTGTAATATCACAGTGATTAGACTTCCAGTCGTTTGGTGGTGACTCATGCAGAGGTCGTTTTGCTACCACTTTCAGTTCTTGTGGCTCTGCAGAGTCCAGCCCTGCTGATGGGTTTCTGAGCCATTTTGGAGATACTTGGAATGATTCTCCTGTGAGTTGGTAACACACAGGAAACTGCCTCATGCAAAAAATAAGTGTAAGATTGTAAAGGTGAGTATTTGCATTAGGAAATACTGCTGTTAATACTGCCCACAGGCAAAACTTTCTCAAAATTCACTTTAATCTGTGCCTTTGTTTCTCACCTGTCAATCACGTAGGGATTGTATCCTAACATTATCAGGGTTGGGATAAACATCCCAACATGAGAGCTAAAGCAGTAGGAGAGACTCATTTCAGTTTGGCTGCTTTCACAGTTTGACTGGACAGTGATTAGTGAGGTGAAAGCTGCCATGATCTTGCAATCAAATAAGTGCAGTCCGTGATGTGCAGCAAATACACCCTGACATTTCATAGTGAAGTTGGTATGAAGTGGCACAGATTTGATGTGTTGTAACATCTGTTGCAGGGCTCCGAGTCCGGCTCGCGCCAAATGCTCGTGGGTACGATCCTGCATGACATCTTCCAGCAATCTGTGACAAATAACTTGGCACAAGAAAAAGTACAAGAACTAGCAAATAAAATTGTGTACGGACAAAAGTACCTCAAAGAAATGTAAGTAGCATTACAAGTGTCTTTTATGTTCAGAGGACAGGGCAGGACCACTTTAAGTTACGCTTTAAAAAATGTAGCACTATTATCCGGAGAGTATTGTGCCAAATGACTTTGCTTGATGGAAATGGTAAGATAATTCCCATTTTAGTAAGATAATTCCCCACTTAATAATGTAATTTTGTTTGCCTTCCCTGCTGAGCTACTTCTGTGGATCCAAACTGTGCTTCTGGAGTAACTATTTGTATGTGGGGGTTTATTCCTTCAGGACAAGCAGGTTGAAGTGTTTGTGCCTGTAACATTAGATTTGCAGGCATCTTCCAAAGCTGATTTAAATGTGACAAACATAATTAATCCTTAGGAGATGAACTAGAAACTTGTGACTGACCAAGCATTGAATGTCTGATGTTTTCATATTCTTTATCAGGTTACTTAAAGGCTCAGTTGCTAGAAGACATTTAACTTATTCTCTCAGCAAAGCTGATAGAAATGCTAGCTAAATAAATGGTCTTAAAATTTCCATCAGAAAATGGTAAGATGAGTGGCTGTCAGTTTTAACATTTTACTGCAGACTTCATTAAAATCTAATTCTACTCATGTAAAAAAATAAAAATCATTGTATTAGGACTGTTATGGATTGCATGTTGGGCAATGTCAGTGTCTGTTAGCCCCAGATGAGCTGGAAGTTCAAACTGTAGAAGCGAGATTTATTATTCTAGCTCTGTTATGAAGGTAACATTTTGAATTGTGACTGCTAAGATCACTTAAAGGCCTTTGTCATCCTCCATGGAACTGTTAATTTGCAATTCCTTTTTCAATATGCAGGTCACTGTTTGTTGGGATTGGAAAGCAAACTGCTTAAGTCTGCTGGCTGTGGTCATTTGCACTTGTCTGAACCTTTTTGTGCAACACCCACTTGTATTTCTCTGTTGCTGTAGAATAATGATGTAATTTCCAGTGAATGCCAGCTTACCTAAGATGTCATTGTCTACAATTTATAGATGCTGATTAAAACATTAAAAAATGACAGTTACTGCCATTAATCTTGTGGATACTCAAGGCGAAATCTCCCCAGTACCAGCAGCAAATCTAATATTTCTTTTTCCTTAATGTGTGTGGGTTTATTTTTCAGGTATCACTTGAATCTGAAACAAGCAGAAATAATGCAGGAGGTGGAAGAATATTTACCATCATTTTTTAAATGGGCAGAAGACTTCATGCACAACCCAGTGAACCAAAATAAAATGCAACTAAAACTGTAAGAAGCCAGCAATTAAAATTTAAAACCATTCTATATTGTTACCTTCTTTAGCTCACTTTCAGTTTTCAGAACAATGCTTTTCCTCACATCTGTTCAGTGATTTGTAGCTAATTCATGACCTCACTGCCAGTGTAGCTGATCTGGAGCTTCATGTTTAGCTCCATAGTGAATACTGGGCAAGACATGAGGCCTGAGGGTGAACTGACATAAAAATCTTACTGGTCTTAAAATCCTTGTGAACAGTGTGGCACAACGCAGAGATCTTAGAAAGGCAAGCATGTTGGAGCTGCTGACTAAGCTAGCATTTACTGTAGATAGGTGCAGCACTACAAATCAGAATGTGAAACTAGTAATCAAATGGAATTTTTGACTAATTCAACAGTTATTTGGTGAAATGGTGATTTAACTCAACTGCTGCTGAGCTCTTCTTGTCTATGGCTTCTTGCTGTTAATTGTAATAACCACGGGGTGTTAAAGTTTCAGTGAAGTGGCAGGTCTGGGTAAAATCTGCATGCTGCTGTCCAGAGTATAGCATTAATATTTTTTGTTTTAGAGGGTGGTTGTTGAGAAAAGACCAAAGACAGTTACAAACAGTGTAAGAGTCTTATTTTAACTTTGAAATTCAGGTGAATAGCAGTTAATTTCTGATGTGACACTTCCTCTGTTAATGGGAAGAGAGTTTAAGTGAGACTCGATGCATTTTATTTCTAAAGTCAGTTCCTACAGAGAACCTGTAATGCAAAAAATTACATATTTAATTGCAACACATTTTAATGAATATTAAGAATTAAGGCAAATTGTGAACTTCTGGATGAATTTTTCTTCCTAGGTCAAATGGTGAAAAATCAGAAGTTGTATCTTCTAAGATAGAGATTGTGGATATCTTGGACATCGAAGAGAATATCTGGTCTCCCAGGTTTGGGTTGAAGGGAAAGATTGATGTTACAGCCAGGGTGAAAATCCATTGCCAGTCTGGAGTAGAGTCTCGGATAATGCCCCTGGAGCTCAAGTCTGGCAAGGAATCCAACTCCATAGAGCACAGAAGTCAGGTATGAACACCCAGAGTCACTGTCAGAGACTGTGGGTACTTTCTTGTTTGATCAGATGACCTATTTTGTCTTATGAATGTGACCACTGTGGTATAATCTGAATTCAGGAGTGGCTGATCCTGGCATACCCAAAGCTGCTGGAGTAAAATGGAAGTGAACTGAGGAGTAAGAAGTACATACATTTACCACTTTCAAACACATTTATGTTTTTTATCCTGAAATATGTGTTCTTCTTGCTACATTTAAATATTAGGCTGAGACAAACTGCTTCAGAAATCAGTGTTATACATATTTCTAGACAGCTGGCCTGATCTAGAGGCAGTAGTCTTGTTATAAGCTTCTGAAGATCTCTTTTAATTTCAATCCTCGGCCAGGTTCTTACTACTTATGGCTTCTAAAATACTTGTGACAGTAATGGCTTTTTAGCCATATAAATTATGGAAGAGCTGAATACAGGTTTTAATACTGTGCTGGTTTTGCCTGGGGTAGAGATAAATTCCTTCACAGGAGATAACATGGGCTGTGTTTTGGATTTGTGCTGAACACAGGTTGATAATGGAGATGTTTTTGTTATTGTGAGCAGACCAAACACAGAGCCAAGGCCTTTCCTGCTCTCTGTCCTGCCACGCTGGGGAGGAGACTGGGGGTGATGGGACGTATTGGGGGGACACAGCTGGGATAGGGGACCCCAGAGGGACATTCCAGACCGTGGAGCTGATCACCATGCTCCGTGTATGACGTGGGGGACAGAAGGAGGAGGCTGAGGGGACATGTTTGGAGTGATGGTGTTTGTCTTTCCAAGTCACCCTTACATGGGATGGGGCCCTGCTCTCCTGGAGGTGGCTGAGCACCTGCTGCCCATGGGAAGGGGGAATGAATTCCTTGTTTTGCTGTGCTAGTGTCCATGGCTTTTGCTTTCCCTGTTAAACTGCCTTTACCTCATGAGTTTTCCAGCTTTTCCCTCTCCGATTTCCTCCCTGGTCCCGCCAGTGGGGCAGTGGCTGAGCAGCTGTGTGGTACGTGGTGCTGGTTGAGGTTTAACCACCAACTACTGCAGGAAGTTTCTATCAAATGTTTGCAGGTTATTCTGTACACACTGCTGAATTTAGAGCGGAGAGCAGATCCTGAAGCTGGATTTCTTCTTTATCTCAAAACTGGTACAATGTATCCTGTTTCTGGAGCTCGCATGGACAGAAGAGGTAAAGTTTTTTTCCCTGCCCTGGAAACCATAGTTATCTTATCTATTGCTAAAACCTTTCATGTTACCTGTAAGGTAACAAGGTAGCTGGCTCTTTTCTTGACAGAATTAATGAAGCTGAGAAACCACGTGGCCTTCTACTTAACACACAGCACCTACAAATCTGCTGTGGGAAGGCAGCATTCACAGCTTGCTGCTTTGCCTCCTGTGATCGATGACAGTCAAGCCTGTAAATATTGCTCCCAAATGCACAATTGCTTCCTGTACAGCAGGTAAAAAAAAAAAAAATCTGACTAATGTTTCTAAATAAGTTTGAATAATCATAGCTTTGGATACAGTGACTTCATTTTTGGGGTTGACAGCTTCTTATTTCTTTATTGAGGACTTTTGCACCCCAAAAGAGTCTTTCACAGATTCCCCTGCAACTTTTGTAATGCAGGTTCTGATCTCCCAGAGACTTTAATATGTTTGTTCAGGTACACTTTTTCAAGAGAAAATCCAAGATAAGTCTCAACAAAATACTTGCTGACTAGAACAGATCTGTTATATTTAAGTTAATAATATTTAAGATTTTAAAAAGCTATATTCTTGCAACTTGAAAAAGGAGGTCTTTTGGGCCTGGATTCTGGCTGGACAACAACTCTCTCACTCTGACTCTGTAGATTGTTTCCCTGTAGGGTTTCACACAAGCAATGATGCACTGATATTACTCTGCCAAAGTGTTATTGCATCTCCTGTTAAAGAGAAGTAACGAGCAGATATTTGATAATTTTTCAGATAAGGTTTTAGTCTTTCTGTTGCACAAAACCAGAACCATCTCTTACACTGAAGAGATCAAATGAGACATATCAGAACAGGAGAGCCTTTGGGGTGACCTTCTGTTAACAGAACAGCTGATTGTTTTTAAAATTGTAGGGGTACAAGTGTATGTGGAGGGAGCCAGCTTAGTGGGCATCCAGGATATGTCTCTGTAAAGCAGGTGTTGTGCAATATTACTTCGAATACCCAGTTGTTACAGCACCAAGATTGTTTCTAGCTGGGTAGATATTCACTGGTGAACTAACTTTTTGCTCTTTGGTTGTATTTTGTATGTGTGATTAGGGAGAATGTCTGGTGTTTAGTTTTGAGATAAATTGACCTGTCTGTGTATTAAGCATTAAATCCCTTTTGCTTAGCTAAGTGTCAGTGTAGTATTCATCTGTTACAGTAAGAGGAGTAAAAAATCAACTATGTAAATGTATGCAGTGTTATCTTTGAAATGCCTTTAATTAGTCTTTGATTAACTTATTGTCCTTGATAATTCAAAATCATAGAGATGATGTAAAGTTACTAATAGAAGATTACTGCCATGAACAAAGGATACAGATTCAACTTGGCTTCAGTGATGATAGATTAATCTGTCTGGTATGTTACAGTATATAGATTGTCATTATGTACATATGGACTTGCAAGCAAATGGGTGCAGGTTGACTCTTCCCTGTGGCTGTTTGTGTTCCTAGAGCTGTAGAGCAGCAGATGGCCAGTGTGTCCTTTCCTCCTGCTCTGGTTCCCATTATTGACAGAGAGACCCAGCACCTGAAACCCTCCCACTTGGAGTATTTCAGCCTCTGGTACCTGATGTTAATCCTGGAGCTGCAGAGTGGGGAGGGTAAAAAGGGATATAAAAACATATGGATGATACCTTCTTTGGAAAGGTGAGGTGTAGTTTCCAACCTGCTGCAAAGATGCTTTCTTCAATAACTGAACATGAGACATTGTCCACTGGTGTTTTCACTGCCAGCAAAGCTAGATGTGTTCTAGTGCTCTTAGAAATACTCAAATATGCTACTTGCATAGGTGGATTTTTTGAGATGTGACCTAATGGAGGTATTAATGAATTTCCTGGTTTTGTGTTTGCACTGTGATGTTGGTTTGGTGGTGGTCACACATGGGAAGCAGCAAACTGCAGCCTCAGCCTTGAGAAGCACAAATGTAATTCTGTTGGTGTCTCTGGGCTGAGGCTGGTGCTGACTGAGCCCTTTTCATGGTGCTGTTTCTGAAGGTTTAGTCGGCACAATGATTCGTCAAGTGACTTATTAATCTTCCCAGTTCTGATTGTGTTTGGGTTCTTTTTCGCTGCTTTGGGGATTTATTTTTTATGTTTTGGTTTTGGTGGTTGGTTGTGGGTGACTTTTTTTTTACATGTGTGAGGCTTTTTTTTTTAATATTTCTCTTCCTGAGAAGTTATTAATATTAAAATATATTTCTTTCTCCCATATCTTCAGAGAGAAGGCTGGAGATTGTGTTGGAAACGTGATTAGAGTGGCTGAAGTACAGGAAATTTCCGAGGGACAGTACCTACACTTTTTCCAACGCAGAAATGGTGCCATACCTGGAACAAACCTGTTGGCTGGTGATCGAGTGGTTGTGAGTGGAGAGGAAAAGGGTTTACTTGGTTTGGCTACCGGCTACGTTAGAGAAGTCAGTGGAACAAAAGTCTCCTGTTTGCTGGGCAGGTAAAAGGACAAAAAGAAAAATATGTGTTTGAAAACACTGTGGTCCTGGCTTCAGGAAGGGCACTTCTAGGTGTCCAAAAACCTGTGACTTGTTCTAACTCTTCTTGCTGGGCTTGGGGGAACCTTCAGAAATTCTCTTCTCTTGATGGAAAATGTCAGTGTTTGGTCAATGGATGTGACTGTTGATTTAACATAAAAACATGTTTAAACTCCATTTACTTACATCTCCAGCATGAGACTATATGGATACAGTAATATCCATAACTTTCAATATTCAGTCTATATTGTCCTTAAATTGGGCTCTGAGCATGTTTTACTTAGATCAGCTAATAGCTGATCTTATTAGCTAATATGTTCCACTCTGGGATCTCAGGAAGATACCATTGAATGTAGTAATAAGTCTTTAATCATCAGCATACTGCTGGTAAACAATTATTTTATCCTTGTTACTGTCATCCGTCAGGAATTTGTCAAAGCTCCCCAAGAACACTGTATTTAGGTTGGATCACGAAGAGGGAGATTTTGGTATGGGAGTCCCTTTTGAAAATCTTTCTAAATTGATGAAAGATTCCCCAGTCAGGTATGAAAACCCAATTAATATCCCCCTTTCAATCTTTCCAGATCAAGTTTCTTAACTGGTAACTCTTCTTGCAACTCTTGTTTTGCTTTGCTTTTACCCACAGTGAAAGGCTCCGCAACTTGATAATTGACTTCCAGAAACCACGTTTCATTCAGCACTTGAGCTCTGTCCTTCCTCCAGAGGCAAAGGAAACTGTTGCAAATATTTTAAAGGGTACAAAGTGACTTTCCACTCCTCTGTTTAGTACTCCCTATAGCCAAATTGTTTATCATGCTAAATATAAAGGGTTTTGAGGCCCAGTGGTAGTTTTCTGCTTAAAAATGTTCTTGTCTTGCATGCACAATATATATGGAGATGGTCATTTAGAATATTAGAAAAAAAATCACAAAAGGTCCAGAAATAAAAATGCCTTCAGTTCCTTATTTCTAGGATTGTAGTGCAGACCCTTTATTACTTATCTTGTGTATCATGTTTAATGTCACATCTTCATTAGAACCCACAAACTTTGCTCAGTTCTTGTCTTTATTAAGGGCTTTAGCAGAGGAGGAAATGATAGTTTTGTTTTAACTTTAGTAATTGTTACAATTATGATGAAGCGTGCTAATTTAATTTTGATTTTTCTCCTGAAAGGTCTAAATAAGCCTCAGAAACAGGCAATGAAACAAGTGCTACTTTCGAAAGACTACACACTTATTGTGGGTATGCCTGGAACAGGAAAAACAACTACAATCTGTGCTCTAGTAAGATCATGTACCTTGATTTTAATTTTCTTTGTGAGATTTAGAGGACAGCATTAAACAAACTGTATAGTGTCCAAAAATTAATTGTCATGACTGAAATTATACAGATACTGTTAGATTAGAAGAAGAAAATACGCTTCTTTTTACTTTAAAAAACCTGTATTTGGTAGAACTAAAGCTGTATTTTGTGGTGTAGGATTGCCTATTGCTTGTGTAGGAGTATGTGTGGGAGGGGGGAGATTGAAGTGTGATACTTAATCACTTCTGTGATGCTTCAGTGTTAAAATTCTTTGGCTCCAAATAGCAGCAAGTCCTCAAATCCTGAGCTGCAGCTCAAAAAAAGCGACTCCTTGGGAAGCCAGCAAACTGAAGTCATTATTGGCTCTCTTCAAAACCCCTCGTGCTCTTTGCCTTGTCAAACGTGGGACTGCCCATTGCTGTAGAGAACTGAAAACCTTTTCTTTTCCCTTGCCACTCCTTAGGTGAGAATTCTTTCTGCCTGTGGCTTCAGTGTTCTCCTGACCAGTTTTACACACACGGCTGTTGACAACATCCTGCTCAAGCTGGCCAAGTTCAAAATTGGTTTCCTGCGCTTGGGGCGAGCTCAGAAGGTCCATCCAGATATTCGGAAATACACGGAGGAAGAAATTTGCAAGTCCAAATCAATTAAATCTGTAACAGACTTGGAAGAGATCTATAATAGCCAGGTGAGAAAAGTGGGCTTTGCTGCAAATTACTAAAGATAATTAAGTCAGGATTTTCTGTTTGGCTGCTGCAGAGAACTGACCACGAGGGTGTGGACTGCTGTAAGAAATCTGAGCTGGAAAAGATTCTCAGTCTCTTCAACTGGTGTATAGCTGGTAATGACCAACATTAACAGGCTGAAAGTTGAGAAGCATTATCTGTTGTCTAAAGTAACTTATAAGTAGTAGAGATCTTGTTACAGGAGTCACTTCAGCACCCTCCATGAATTGTCTGTGCAGAGAATCTGGCATCACTGAACACATGGCAGGAACAAGTTATATGTGCTACAGGCTGCTCTAAAGCTGGCTTTGTTTGTCACTTGCAATTGATACAAGAACATGTCAAGCTGTTTAGTTTAAGGGGAAAATATTTTTGCTTTTAACTTTATCAACACAGTACTAAAGGATATAAAATGTACCTTATCCCTAAAGCGTGTCTCAATTTTCAGCCAGTGGTGGCAACGTCTTGCATGGGAGTAAATCACCCTATCTTTGCTCAGAAGCAATTTGATTTCTGTATAGTTGATGAAGCTTCCCAAATAAGCCAGCTCATCTGCCTGGGCCCACTGTTCTGCTCCAAAAGGTTTGTGCTGGTGGGGGATCATCAGCAGCTGCCTCCACTTGTGCTGAATTCAGAGGCAAGGTAAGATAAAATCCTGCTGGACAATTACTGGTAATGAATTCTGGGAAGGCTCTTGCAGACTGACACACTTTTGGGTTTTGTTTTTGTGTTGTAACAGAGACCTCGGCATGAGTGAAAGCTTATTTAAAAGGCTGGAACAAAACCAAAATGCTGTTGTCCAGTTAACTGTGCAGTACAGAATGAATAGGTAATTAAAACTTTTATTTATTATGTCGTGTTTTTAATGTGGGATTGAAAGGGCAAGATTTTTATCCCTTGTCTTGTATTTTTAAATCTCTAGTAAGATTATGTCACTGAGTAACATGCTGGTGTACGAAGGCAAACTGGAATGTGGCTCAGAGAAGGTGTCAAATGCCACTGTTAACTTGCCCAACCTAAAAAAATTGAAACTGGACCTTGTGGATGCTTCAAAAACGTGGCTGAAAGAAGTTCTCGATCCAGACAAACCTGTGTGTTTTCTGAACACAGAGAAGGTAAAGTTCATTATGTTCTTTCAACATTGTATTTTGATGCAAGTTCTCAACTGTCAACGTGTAAAACTTGATACAGCTTGGGTAGGGTAAAATAGGGAACTTCAGAGAATGGTTTCCTGGTTCCATGGAAAAAGTGCAGCACACACAAATGGTGGTGTAGCTGATCAGCTGCTGCTGGAACCATCACATCTGGGAACAGCTGAAATGGTTAATTCAGGAAATATTTCAGAAAATGTGGAAGGTAGACTGTAGATATGCTGCAGACTTTGTTCTCATGTCCAGTGTAGCTCCAAGTGTGTAGCCATTGGCAGGAACAGCTATAATTCTCCATGGAATTTTGGAGACTTTCTATATGCTGAAGTGTGAGGGAGGAGTAAGTTGCTTTAGATGTGTCCTTTCATGGGGACACAGATTTTTCCTGGAAAATTAAAACTCAGGAGTGGATAAAAATACTGCATAGAAGCTGACTAGGAAAAATGAGGAAGAGCTTAAACACATGTAGAAAAAGATCAGTAAATTAGTACATGTTTGTACTCTCTAGTACTTGTTGTCACTGTAGTTCGTGATTGGATTATGAAGATTTGAGGTTTTATGTTGATTCTTTTGTGCTGACCCTGGGTAGATCTCTCCAACCTCCCTGTGCTGTGACATTCTACAAGATACCTACTTTTTAATAACAATTCTAAGAGAATGTCTTCAATGACCTAAAAAGAAACAGTGTTTACTTTGGTGACTTAAAGAAATTTCCAAAAATGCCTAAACTAAACAGGGACATTTTCCAGGAATGCCTCGATAGCTGCAGTCCCTTTCCCAGGAAAGCAGACAGTTGGTCCCAGGGAAGACACTTGTTAAGAGGAAACTGGCTGACACACTGTTCAGCTGGTAATTATAGAGAAATTAGTAATGAGGAAGCCAGAGTTTCTGTTCCATTTTGAATATTTTTTTTTTCCCTAGAAAGCCCATCTTGAATGTGAGCCAGCTGTTCTGTTTGTAGAAACAGGAGGAAAGTTTCTCTTTCCAAAATATTCTTGGGTTTTTTATTGAGGTGGTCATGGCAAGGGGGGAGAAATGAAAAAAACCCACTGAATACAAGACCAAACAAACCCAGTATTTCTTTGACTTGATAGTGGTTTTATTCCCCTGGATATTATTAGTATAACCAAGAAAAACTTAGGAAGAAATACACCGGGGGGGATACAAACAGGGAGAAAGGAGAGCAAAAAAGCACCATGATAGCAGCAGGAAGCTTACATTTATTATGTTTGCTTTTTTAAAAAAGGGAAAAAAAGCCTCTACTGTTTTCTGTGTAACAATGCAAGGTGTTTGTGACAGTAATGGGAAATCTGTTTCTTTTCTGTTGAGCCCTGTGTCAGTCTGTGCTTCTGACAGCTTGGGTCTGGATTCTGAAAAATAACATTGGTAGGATTCTGAGAGTGCTGCTTTAGGTTACCCTACACCTCCTCCCATTTTCAGGGGCAATGCTGTCATCAAAACTGGGAAGGGAAACTCAACATGAAGAACATGTTAAAACAAGATCAAGGGACATCTAAGAAAACATGGATTATGTCAGTATCAAATAGTGGAATGGCTGTGGTAGAAAATGGCAGGAAATGAGTAAAAGTAGTAAATAGAATTTAGAGCTGGAAAGCAGTTCAGTGTCTGTTCAGTCTTAGGCTCTTTGCAAATGAAGAGGTTTGCTTGACCCCAGTTTCCTGGATGGACAACATCAGTTCTTGCTGTTGATAATTCAGCTTTAGACAAGGCACGAGCTGAGCAAGGAGAGTGAATTACAGACCTGTGGTACCACAATGACAAGAGTTCACATTCTGAGCTTGTTCTTGGCTTCTTGGCCTCATTCATTCATACGTGGTATAGGGAAAGGGAGTTAAGAAATGGTAAATTCAGTGAACGCTCTTTTAAAAGATTGGCAGTTCAATTTAAGACCACCATTTTGGATAGTTCTTGCCTTAGTTTTAAACATAGGCTTTCACACATGTAAAAAACTAATCCTTTTATGCCACAGACTGGGGAAAATTCACTTTAAATATTGCTGCATGGAGAGCATTAAAACAAAAATCCCATGTAAAATATAATTTGCTCTCTTACCCTGTCAGGCTGAGAATTGTCCATTTTTGGTTGTGTTTTGATTTGTAATGTGTGAGCTATAAAGTCAGAGCATTAAGATTTCGCAGTTTCTTAAGGCGGCAGCTCCTTCTAGAAACTTATTTCAGCAGTTTGTTCCAACTTGTTTTGCAAATGCAACATTCTTGAGTTACTTTACAGTGTAGGCTCTTCTGATTAGTAAAATTTAGCATTTAACCTTTTTTTTTTTAGTTAAAACCATTAATATAAACCCAGATATGATATGATGATTTAGGGATCAGAATATGGTACACCATTACAGACTGCAAAAGTAATTATGTCCTGTTTATATTTTTAAAGGTCCCAGCACCAGAACACGCAGAAAAAGGTGGCATAAGCAACGTGACAGAAGCTAAAATAGTGCTTTTTCTCACATCCTTATTTATTAAGGTAACTTTGACTTCAGTGCATGGTTTGGAGGGGCAGCTTTGTAACTAAGGATTCTTACACTGCTCCAGTAATGGCAACTCCTGTGTTTTGGGTTATTCTTTCAGGGATAATCTGAAGGATAAATTGCTGCACGTCAGCACAGTGAGGAGCCTGAGCTCTGCATTCCCTTCTCTCTCCCTTGCCTGGCTGGATTTGGGATGTGAAATCAGCTGGATGCCAAATTCTTTTAAGAGATGAGGACTATCTGGGGAGGGATGGGAGAGGATTTGCCTTTCTTCCTTATTTCATCCAGTAGCACAGACTAGGAGTTCTCAATATTCACCTCACAGTTTGACAAAGAAAAATGAGGATTTCATGGATATCTTTGTGCTGAGTTTGGACAAAGCTTGGGAGCTTTCAGTAACTAATGTTATCTATTTTCTTTAGTTAATAGCAGTTACACCTCTAGTTCCGTGGGTGACTTAGTGTATATACGATATCTTTGGGACAGTGAGGAGTTTCCCAAGCCAACTGCCGTGACAGTTTTTTTCTTCTGTTCTTGCTCCATTCAGGCTGGCTGCAGGCCTTCAGACATTGGCATCATATCACCCTACAGACACCAGTTAAAAACAATCTCTGATCTGATGGCAAAACTGAAGGAGAACAGAGTGGAAGTCAACACAGTCGACAAATACCAAGGAAGAGACAAAAGTGTCATAATCGTGTCTTTTGTTAGGAACAGTCATGATGAAAATGTAAGTTGGTCCTACTACCTTTGTGCCAGTCAACTTTAGTAATCAGATGCCTTTTGAAAACGAGTGTTTTATCTACATTAAATAGGACAAATAAGAGCAAGTTCCATTTGTCTGACAGCTTGGCCACCTCCTGAAGGACTGGCGGCGTCTGAATGTTGCCATCACGAGAGCCAAGCACAAGCTGGTCATGGTGGGCTGTGTTCCATCCCTGAGCTGCTATCCTCCCCTGGAGAAGCTCCTCTGCCACCTGCAGTCCCAGGCAATGATATCCTTTTTCTGCACCCTGGTTCGGGAAAGGGGAAAGGTAAGGTTGCCTTACTGAGTTTTGAGGTAAGGAGGGGAAGCTCTTGGATTATTTAGCTTGTGTTTTTAACAGTGATTTGCTACCCAGCACAAAATGTGCTAATTAAACCTGCCAGAAGTACACTCGAGATCAAGAAACAGAAAAAAGTCTATGCTGATTTGCAAGTCAAATTTGGTGTAATTCTTAAACTTCAAGGCCTGAATTTCTGATTTTTAATGCTCTTGCATTCTTTGCTGTCATCATCCTAGTTTCTTGGCATCTTAGTGTGATTGCTTTCTTCAGAAGTACCATGCACTTCAACACATCTGCTTTGTGGATAATCTTGCTGGAAAGGAAAACAGGTTCACCTTCAGGTGACTTGTTCATTTTTCATTCCTCTCTGGCATTGCACTGAGCAAGCTTTAGCTATGGCTGTTTCCATCTCCTATTTAAACAGGAAATAATCTTGTCAGCTGTTTTCTTTGCAAACCCCATTGCACATTCGAAGAGGTTTGGGGAAAGGGATATGTTGTCCTAATGCTTCCTTAACTTGCTACATCTTGAATCTTCCAGCGGGGGCTCATGAAAGTATCCACAAGTGTAACATCTTATGAGTGTGTGAAGATGGGAAGTTTTACAGACACTGGTGTCTTGTCTTCTGCTTTGGTTCTAAATACTTGAAAGTGCAGTTTACATACAGCGATTCCATTCACTGGAATTCCCAGTTAAGGTGCTGTGTTGCTCTGTTTGGAACAAAAATAGGAAAACTGTCATCATCAAAGCCTCAAATTCTCCTTTGAACTCTACTCCTGTTTTTTAAAATATACAAGTGTTTTATATTTATATACATAATGTAATTAATCTCCCTCATGAAGATCCCTCTGACTTTCCTAATCTCTTGATTTTGCACACATCAGGGAGCAATGTGATGCTGATTGACTTAATTCCCTGTCATTAACTGTGTTCAGCAGATCAGTCTGAAGTGAAATGCTTCCTAGTAAAACTCTGTTTTCAGTTTGTCTGATCTGTGGTCTTCAAAACAAAACTTTCCCAAGAAACAGAGCCAGAGCTGCAGCTTGCTGTCTGAGAAGTTTACATGCTCAGGTTCTATTTTTTTTACAGATATGAATATTCATATTGCATATGATAATAGCAAACACTCTCCACTTGAGAAATCTGTGTTAATGTCTTTATGCTACCTCATTTTTTAGACTAAAGGCACTGAGAAGTTTCTTTCCAAGACTGCTAGTGGAAACATCAATTTTCTTGATTCTTCAGAATCATTAGTATTTGTTTGCTCTGGGATCAATGTCAAGTAGCTGTGTGCATACAGATGCAGACAAACTTCTGAAATGTGGGCATTTTCACTCTCTTACACTGCTCCCTGACTTTTTGTAATGCTTGAAATAATAAAAGTTTGCTGCTTGTTTCATTATAGTCGTTTAAACTTTGTTAATACTGTGCTTTATATAATACAAATATTTTTAACAGTTCAACATCATTTCAGTATCTGACAGGATATTCTCCTTTTTCTGGTGAAAATACACACTGCATCAACTGTGTCTGTGCTGTGGGTCTTCCAAAAGGTGGAAAAAATAGGGTAAAAGGTACTGTTCATTATAGTAGCAATTTCAGAACAACCTTTACTGATTTAGAAGAGTTTTTCTTTCTATATTTAGGACGTACAGGTACAAAACACTAAGACTTAGCTAATCTATTTTCTTAACACCAAATTCTGCTTATCCAGAAAATGGACTGCACGCTACTAAAAAGTTTATAAATGAATTAAAGCACTAGAACATTTCCTTATCTACTTATAAAATGCATCCTTCCTTCTTTTTGCGTGGTAAAACTTAGATCCAGGAGCGATCTACAGATGAAACCATGTTTTGATCAGGTATTCTGCAACAAAATTGAGATGTGGTGCTCTAAAACACTCTGAATATGTGTAGTGAATTTATATATGTGTATATATATATATCTATCAAAGAGTGTCCCTGTCCCTGTGGGCTGTTCCATCCCTGCGCTGCCCTTGTCCTTTGGTCCTTCCTTGCAGGCCCTCTTTCTCTGTGCAGCTTTGTGTGCAGTCTCTGAAGCTGAGCAAGGTAAAGGACACCTTTTTGTTCTACAGCTTTCTGGTTAGCCTCGTCTGAGGAGGGGAAAGATCAGGATTTAGAACAATTGTTAAGCAAAGCAAATTGTATGTAGTGCTTAAGGTGCAGTAAGCACAAACTGAGATCCCATCTGGATGTGACAAAAGTGCTTGATGTTTAACACCTCAGTGTGTTTTGTTGGTTTTTTTTCTGGTGACATTCATGTTTCAGGTTTTTTTAAAATTAAATCCCAAAACCTTGATTCTTTTAAATACTGCCAATTATTTCCACCATACTATGTTCTAAGGTGCTGAACTCAAAGATTTTTTTCCCCTACTTGTTCTGATACGCGTTTTCCGGCAGTGGAGAATTATCATTTGGAACAAATGTCAAGGATTGAAGCTTTCAGCGGCGAGAGAGGGGTAGGGAGGGCTCAGGTTGGTGCTGCTGGCTGTGCTTAGCTGATGTCAGCGGCCCCGTGTGCCGCAGGCTGCCCCGGCTCTCTTGCTGGCGGCCCCGCCCGGGCTGTGTGCGGCGAGGGGGGTTTGTCGCGACAGGGCGATAGGGGCGGGTCCTCCCGCCGCCGGGGGCGCCGTACGGGGCGGGCGGGGCCGCGGGCCCGCAGGGAGCGGCTGCGGCGGCTCCTCCTCTCCGGCCATGGGTGAGCGCGGCCGCGGCCAGGGGAGCGGGGCCGGCCGGGGCGGGGGCGGCGGGACACGCTGGGCTGGGCGGGGGGAGCGGGCAGGGGGGTCCGCCGGGGCCGGAGCGGGGCCGGCCGCGGGCTCGGGGCGCGGGGCCGAGCGGTCCCTGGGGCTGCGGGACCGTGCGGGGGCTCTGCCGGGAGCGACGGGCTCGCGTTCCGCCCGCTGCCGCTGCCGGAGCCCGCTCAGCCCGCAGCCCTGCCCGTCCGGACGGCAGCGATGTCGTGCCCTGCGCCACGGCCCTGGTGATGCCCAACTGCAGGACCAGCGGCAAACGGCGCCTTCGGGGCGGAGGAGAGTCCCCAGAGCTCCTTCTGTTTGTGCCGCACCCCGTACGGTACCTGAGCAGCAGTTAGGGTTTCACACACCGCGTTAAATGCTAATATTTATTTATTTGTTTGTTTATTTATTTGTCTGTCCATTTATTTATTTAAGAGGTAGGTGAAGAAAAATAGCTATATGCGGCTAGACCATGCTTTAAAACAGACCTAAAATGCATTTTGCCTCGGAAGAAGCAGACGAGAGGACTGACAGTTAAAAGGGCACTAGGTGCAGGAGTCTCGTCTGTGGGCAGGATCAGCTCCAAAAGTCAAAATGAGGTCACCCGAAAAAGGAATTGGTACGATGGCTTTGGGCAATAGAGAGGAGATGCAGCAAGGCAGAGCCCTCCACCTGGAGTCTGCAGCAAGCAAGGCGTTTCCTACGCTAACACTTGTGTTTAGTACTGGCAGTAGCAGACCTACTAAAGCAGCAGGAATCTGCCTTACCCACAGAAAGGCTCCTCTTGTTGCAAGCCTCACCTGCCCAAGCCAGGCACCCTGTGCTGATGCTGCCTCGGGCAGGGTCTGTCAGTCGTGGCACTGAGTGGACAGAGAGGCAGGAGACAAAGCAGGGAGCTGTCCCTGCCAGCTGGGCACGTTTGTGCCACAACACCATCTCTCGTGATTTCCTGGTGTCTTTGGGGTTTTCTGTTGAGGTGTGGTGACCTGGGGGACTATAAAAGGAGTTTTTAAAGGTTATCTCAGGTAAGTCATCTCGGTGATTTGTTTTTTTCCTAGGAATAGGTTGTATTGTATGGTAATAGAGTAGCTGGGTAGTTGGAAGGCACATAGGAAAACACAGTTTTAGAAAGTAATTTCCTACGTTTCTAGTATCTAATACCTAAATACCTAAATTGATGTAGTATGCAGGAAATGAAACAAGTCATTCCCTTGCTATTGAGGAACTGAGAAAATATCCATCTGTTAGGATGGTTTGGGTTCTTTGTGCTTTCTGATGTGCAAACACATAAGGTCATATGCCAGTACAGAGATTTGCAGAGGAACAGGCTCACATTTTTTTCTAAGACAGAAATCTTTCTAGATATTCTGACATCTCTGTCTCAGTGTCTTGAAAAAGATGATACGTGTTTTTGCTTCATTTGTTTGGATTTAGTAAATCATCAACTCTTTTTGCTTCTTTCCAGATTACTTTGATTACTTTGGTGAATTAACAGAGGGGTTTTTTGTCCGTGGTTTAGTTTGATAAAATAGAGGCTGGCCTGAATGTTTGAACTGCTTCACTACAAATGAAAATAAACTAAGACTTTCCTGAACACTGATTTCAGTAGCAGGAGCTCTAAGAAGACAAACGTTGTCCATTCTGTCAGACTAAGATGACTGTAAAAAGCCATGGGTTTTTTATTGGCTAAATTCAATCCCCAAACATGATTTTGTAGCATATACTTCATAAAGTTTACCAAAAACTTCAATTTAAAGCAAACCCTTTAATTCTTAAGCTTTCCTGTGTAGCAAATACTTTGTGGCTAGATGGGAAACTGAACTTTCAGTATGCAATATGTAACATTTCCTTGTTTAGTGGCTGAGACTGTGCAGCCTAAGAAGGAAGGTTTCTGTCACTGTGAAATTAAAGCTAATTAATTAGTAAGTGATTGTAGATAAGAAGTAGGATGCCTGCTTCTGTAGGTAGACTGTAGTATATGAGATGAATATGTCCATTAGTAGGAATGCTGCTTTGGTGCCATGGAAAGGACACTGATGGCTGTCCTGCAGCACAGTTTGGGGTGCAGCAGTGGTGCCTGTGTTAATCTGCACTTATTGGCTGGGACAGCACTACCTAAACTGACATTTCCAGCCTGGGATTTTCCTTCACCTCTTCAAACACTGTAAGAACATTTGTTGGAGTGGGTGCTTTACTCTGAGTCACTCCCAGGAGTTTACCCGGGTTTGGGTACCTTTCTTTCCCTCTGAACAGGTGGCCAGGCAGCGTTTCATTACCCTGCCTCTCTCCTAAAACTTGAACCATCACCTCTTTTTCTCTCTTGTCACAGCTGTAAAGGACCCCACAGCTGTAGAAAGGGCCAACTTACTGAACATGGCTAAACTGAGTATCAAAGGACTCATCGAGTCAGCGCTGAGCTTTGGCCGCACTCTGGACTCCGACTACCCCCCTCTGCAGCAGTTCTTCGTGGTCATGGAGCACTGCCTCAAGCACGGCCTGAAAGGTGTGGTGATGGCTCTACTTCATCCCAAACGGGCCATTTTTCTTCCTTTCGTTCTTGAATTAGATAAAAAAATGTGTTGCATTAAGAATTGAAACATATGTAAATTGTTAGCTTTTATAACTACTAGTGTCATTAATTCTTCATCGCATATAGTTCCATGTTTACCAACTTTTTCTTCTCTGCACCATTTGTTGTAGAGTGGTCCAGGGCTTACCACAGCTGCATGTATGTATTTAGTATCTATTTTTAGCTGGACATTCTTTTAATATTATTTTGTTCTAGCACATCAATTTTACATTCCCAGCAAAGTAAGTGGGAAGTTGGCTTTGGATACTGGGGAGCTGACCAGTATGGAAGTTAGGAATTATCTGGAAGCCCAGACTCAGCAGTTAACCCTTTCTTACAGCAGCTATCAGGAAGAAAGCTACTGCAGTAATTTAAATTAATCAGTTACTTAATTTTTCTTCTCGTAGTAAGAAAATCCTTCCTAAGTTACAATAAAACCATCTGGGGTCCTCTGGAACTTGTGGAGAAACTCTATCCAGAAGCTGAGGAAATAGCAGCAAGTGTCAGAGATTTGCCTGGTCTTAAGTAAGTACTTTTGGGAACAACACAGGAAAGTAAAGGACCTGACTGAGAATGTCCAGGTGGCTGCTGACTGCTTGTTCTGTACAAACCAGCCAGAAAAGCAGTGTTTGTGCTTTTCTGGTGTTTTTTGTTTTGGTTTTGGTTTTGTTTTGGTTTTTTTGTTTGGGATTTTTGTTTTGTTTGGGGTTTTTTTTTGCATTTGTTTGTTTGTTTTGTTTTGTGGGTTTTGGTGTGTGTTTGTTTTGGGTTTTTTTGCAGAAAAGCCTGATAATTGGCTGCACACAAAATTCCAGAAGGGTTTGGTTACGCTGGGATGGGGATGTGGCAGCGTAAGGGTTATATTGTGCTTTAGAACTCCTCTAAACCACTTAGGCATAAAAATTGTTATTTGTTCTTGGGCTCTTTGCCAAGGACGTTATTCTCCTGCTATCCAGATACAGCCTGTGTGGGTTGTTTTGCATTTATGTGCCTACTGCTTCTAAGTGTGCAGGCCCTAGGAGAGGAAGAGCTAAAGGCCCAGGTTTAATTTGTTGGATATTCATGTTTGCCCTTTACATACATTTTCATCTTTTTTTCTTTGCCTTCCTAAGAAGGCACTGGATTTGTACACGAGTATGAGTTAAAGCTACAGCTCAGTCCGTGTTCAGGCCCAGAGAACAGGGCTGGGAAGGCAGGCACGGGGAGTTGTGATGGGCATTCCATTACTCTTCTTGCAGTTCCTCGGAAAACTTCATGAACAAACTGCAGAAAGGAGCCAGGACTGTTGCAAGCATTTTACTTCAGCACAAAGCAGGACTTCCAAGATTATCAGGCTCTTGTGCATTCTCTAGTCCTGTTCTTTCCAAGCTCCCAAGCTCAGTTGAGTAGGTGAAAAATTTTCTGTTACCCCAAAGCTGGGAGTCAAAGCCTGGACATTGTGGCTTCCCAATCTGTGATACTCAACTAACAGTTTAAAATACCCCTCCAGAAATACCACTTGCTCTACCAGAACACCGATAAGATGCCACAGACCATGAATTAATCACTGTGTTATTAATAAATCTGTGTCCATGCCCTTGTTTCAGGACACCCCTGGGCCGTGCCCGGGCCTGGCTGCGCTTGGCGCTGATGCAGAAGAAAATGGCTGATTACCTTCGCTGCCTGATCATTCAGAGGGATCTCCTCAGGTAAACACTCCATCACATTTTGGCACTGAACTTCTTTTTACAGGTTTAATCTCCTAAAAAAATAATCATGCATTCCTCCACCATGCAGAATAAGGACTAAAAACCTCTGGAGTTTTTCTTATTTTCAGTTCTATTTTCCAGACTAGTTCTGCATGCCTAGTTAATGCTGATGTGTCAGGATGTTGTTTTGCTGTTCAACTGCTGGGGACTTTGCCATTGAAAACACAGTTTGTCATATAGAATCTAAAAGTGCTGTTCTTTAGTGAAGTATTTTTATTTTAAGAACCTTTTTAGCATTTCAGCCCTTCCTGTTTGCCTTTTACCCATTTAATCTCATCCTTGGCTTCTTGAATTTCAAGCGTGTGTTCACTGAAGTCCAGACATTTTTTCACACAAGGGAATTTTTTACCATTCTTCTTTTGCCTTGCATTGCAGTGCTTCTTAACAACATGAGAGTTGTCTGAGTCAGTGTGGCCAGACATCCATCTGTTGTAGTATCCTGTTCAAAAATGTCTAAAGCAAATGTGTACAGAAGAGCCTTTTCTGGTTTGGTTTGTTTTGTTTGGTTTGTTTTTTTAAGGCAAATTAAAGCTTGCCCCCAGACATCCCAGCCATCCAGCAACTCGTGGCTCAGATTTCTGGAGCCAAAGGTAGTATCTTTGTTTCTAATAGCCTCTGAGACAAACCATGCACTTGGAATTTTTAAATATTTATGAGGTGAAAGTATGGACAGGCCCAGTTCATCTTGAAGGACATTGTAAGTAGGCTACAGTAAGAGAAACTATTCCGATTTGTATATCACTTGTTATTAATTTATTGGATATATATATAAGGAATACACTGATAAGATGCAATTTCCTTCTTTTAACAGTGAATTTTATGAGTATCACGCCCTGATGATGGAGGAAGAAGGAGCAGTAATTGTTGGGCTGCTGGTTGGGTTAAATGTGATAGATGCCAACCTGTGTGTGAAGGGAGAAGACCTGGATTCGCAAGTAAGTCAGCACAGGTAAAGGAATGTGCAATCCATAGGATGTTGTCGTGGGTTCGGTTTGGGTCAATTTTTCTCACCCCCCACACAATTGCTGTAAGTTGAGAGAAGATTTATGCAGACAAAAGAGATCTGATTGGGGAGAATAATATTATTACTTTATTACTAGCAAGATAAAAACTAAAGAACTATATATATACAACAATTTTAACTGGGCAAAAATGCTATGTATTTACAGAAATACCCCCCCCCTTTGTATCAGTTCAGGAGGAGAAGCAGTCTCTTTTCCACTTCCAGAGCTAAAGGTCTTTTAAATAATTTTGCAGCACTTTGAAAGTTTCTTTTCTATTATCTTTAGGATGACAACTCCGATTCGTAGCAGCTGGAACTGTTTTTCTCTCTCTCTTCTATGTCGGCCTCAGGGCTGAGCTCACCCTCTCCTGGGCTAAGACCAGAGGCAGGGGGTTACCCAGGCCCTGTGGGGTCCTCCATGGACTGCAAGGGGACACTTGTCTTACCATGATCTTCCCACAGATACAAGGGGTAATGGCTTTTGAGTCCACCCCTGTTTCCTGTGAGGTTCCTCCCCCTGAGAGACAGTCCTTGATGGACCTGTCTAATGTGAGTCCACCTTCAGGTAACAGTTCTTCCATTCTCTGCTGTCCCTCAGGGTAACAAATTCAGCTGCACCAGCCTGAATCCCTCACTGGGATCACACAAATCCTACCAGGCCGACTCACTCCAGCGTAGGTCTCTCTCTCCATGGGCCACAGGTGTGTTAGGCCTCCCATGGAGTTACATCTTCTTCATGCACTCCCCAACAATCTTCCACAGGTGGCAGAGGTTTTTAGTTTTCAATCTCTTTGCTGCTGAAGGTGGGGGGAGAGAAGGAGTTTCCCCCTTTTCGGCCTTCTCTTCTCTCTCCTGCTTTGACCTTGGAGGCTCTGTTAGCTCTGCCAGAATTCCTCCTGCAACATTTCTCATCCAGGCAGTCTTTCTTTAGAGTTTCTCCTCCACTCTGTAACATGTTTCAGTCAGGGGGGCTTCAGTGCCACACCTGCCCCCAGCCCAGGGCCAGGGGAAGGAAGGGGCCCTGGCCCACTTGGGCCTGCCGCCTTCACCTACATGGCTCCTATTTCATCTGCCCAACAACCTTCTCTTCCATTTTCTTAAATATGTAATTGACAGAGGGTGTTACTAAAACTTTTGATTGGCTTTTTCTCTGGAAATCCACCTGGAAAAACTATTTTCAGCCCCAGGCGGGAGCTGGTTGACAAACCCACGACAGATGTTTATGTCCAGTGAATTTTGTTACTATGGAGTTGTGATTTGTTAGAAATCTCACTAGAGACTGTTCAGGATGTGATGATCCAGCTCCTGGGGCCCAGGGGCTGTTGGGTCAGACCTTTGGGTGGTGGTGATTGTCAGTGCAAGGATGCAGGTTCGTGCTTTGTCATCAAATGGATGCAACAGGAGCGATGCAGCGTTGTTTCCATCCTCAGTGTAACTCATCCTTCTCCTCTGGAGGATGTACCATGGTCACTTTATCCTGCTTGGTTCATTTATTGCTGTTCTGGAACACAATAGGAATGGTACAAGGACCTGGAACAAAAACTCTCTTTGCATAGTGTCATGGAAAACCTTATGAGAGCTGGGACTGCTTTCAATCTTCAAAACAAGACTTGGAATTCTTCCTGCTTTGCAACGGACTTTGATCTTTTCCAAGAAAATCTTAACACATTCTCTTTAGAGGCAGATGCAAAAGTCTTTATAAATGAATGTAGACTGTGTTCAGTGATGAGTATTTTTTTTCAGCTTCTTTGTAGAAAGAATCCTAGTAGTTTAAGTGATTATTGCTGTATTGCAGCATATATCTGATGAAAAGCAACTCCTGTGGGAAAGAAAAGTTATGGCTGACTGGGTATGTGTGCTGTTGGATCAAAGGGTTAACTTGTCCTTGACTGTTTATTCTGGTTACCACCTAATATCAGTTTTAGACACCCATCTTGTGTAAAATAAGATCTAACACTAGAAGAAGAGACATGGAGAACTAAAATAAAGGAACTTTTACAGAGAGAACATCTCGCCTTTGTTTTTATAGAGATAGTGCTTGGCTTTAATAAGCAAAATACATTTTTAAAAAGCTTTTTGGAGAAGAGACTTTTTAGCAAAGACATGGAAAGAATACGTAGAAGAGCATCACAGGATACTGAGTGCATGGTATAAACCAAGAAAATGTTAGACTTGTATTCCAAAGCTAAAGGGAGCTCCAGAAAAGAGCAGCAGATCAGAGAATTGAAATACTTTTCTGAAAAGTCTGCTGGAGACCAAAAAGAAAGGGGTTTGGTAAAGCAAATGTGATTAAATACTTTAGTTAGACATTAATGAATAGAGCTGGAAGCAGAACTCATGGCCATGCTAAATACATAGGATTTATGATTAAATGACAATTGAATAGGAAATTAATCAGATTCAGATTTAGTAAAGTTTAAAAAAATGAATGGGATTGACTTGTCCCACTTGGGAATCAGCAAGTGTGGAGAGGTGGTATCATTTTGACAAGGAATATTGTAAAACAAAACATGGGATAACATCAGTTGGGGAGGTGTGCTGTGACAGGGAATCTTCTGAAACACTCTATAATCAGCCAGGGGGAGGGCTGTGTAGTAAATGAAAGTTTCCTCCAAGCTCGTGTCTAGGCTCAGCCAGAGGAAGAAGTCATCTTTTCTTTGGAATTTGGTACATGACACATTGTTAATGTTATTAAAATGTAACATAAATCTTAGTAAGTATGGAGTTTACACGTAAAAAAACCCAAACCTCATTTAAAATTGTATAGTTCATATTTTTAGCTGAAACTGGACCAATCTCAAGGCTGTAAATACCAACAGCAGTTATTTGCATGGTATGAAACTGTCCCTTTGCTTTCCTCCAGGTTGGGGTGATTGATTTCTCTGTGTATTTGAAGAGTGATGATGACATTGGGGGTAAAGAAAGGTATGTCCTCACCAAATAGCTCTGATTTTGCATATTAACAAATGGTTTCTTGACTGGGGCCCTGTTCTTTGTGGAAATAAGTCAGGCTCCCTAGAAATGAAATCTTCTGATTTCACTGTCTTGAGCAAAAAGGCATCCTAAATTGTTTTGCAGGAGTGGATGGCTGGAAGAGCATTTGCAGTCTGGAGCAAACTCCAGCAGCGTCTCCTCCTGCCTTTCCCTGCTGGACAGCAGTGGGGGATTGCAGGGTGGCAGGGAAAAGGGACCTGCAGACCTCTAAGCCCTCAGCTTGGGGTTTAGTCACTTGTTTCCAAGAACCAGAGTTAATGGCAGAGTAAATAAACATCCTTTTTCTTTTCAGATGTGTGTGCTCTTTGGTTTCATGTAGAGGAATGGTTTGTAGTTAAAGCACTGGATTTCTTTGTCTCTCAGTGATGTCACAGTGTGGGTTACTGAGTTCATGACTGTGAGATGAAGTTGCTTCCTTTCTTTTTAAAAACACAGTCAAGGGGGACATTTGCACGTGGTAGATATGCGTATTTTCAGTTCCATACATCATCTTGTTAAAGCCAGTTTCACTTTGTGCTTGCTTTAGAGATGTACAGATTGCTGCAATATTGGACCAGAAGAATTATGTGGAAGAACTAAACAGGCAGCTGAAGTAAGTACAACTTAGAAGCGTGTGTGTCAGGGCAGGCTTACAGGGACATTAGAAATAAATCATATTTTAAATTTTTTAATGCCAGTAGTCCTGATCATTAGTTACTCTAAGGTTACTGTTGGAGTAGAGATAGTCTGGTTTGAAATGGTGGTTTGTTTTCCTGTGTGTGAAGTGCAACCTAAAAAACATGTGCTTCCAGCAGAAACAAGGTTATGGAAAAGGCTTGGCTGTGGTTTGATACTGTAAAAAACAAGAGTAATAAATGGGAATAAAATTCTGATGAGACTCCTAAATGAAGTCAAGAAGCATCAAGAAAGAGAGAGCCTCAGGACAGATCTCAAAAAAAAATAAAAATCAATGATTTTATAAAAGAAATGTGTTTTAGAGGAAGAGAACCTGGAGAATGGTTTGGTTTTATGGGGAAAATAACATGGAGATTGTAAACTCTTTGTAAACAGGGAGATTGTCCCGGAAGGGAACTCATTTATCTTTTGGATGCTTTTGGATATAATTGGGAGGATAAAGGAAAGGGAGAATCCATGTGAAGTTACAGCTAGCCAGGAGTTTAAGTGACAGGGATGACTTTGGGAATTGTAAAGAAGAATAAAAATGTTCACCAAAGGAGAGGAATTTTCTCATATTTAGGAAAACCTCAGATAAGGGGAGCAGACCTTTTAGCTCTTAACCATTAATCCCTGGGCCTTACACGGACGTTTCTGTGCTTGGTTGGCTGAGTTTTGCTGTCATTTTGAATACCATTTTCTCTTTTCTCCCCTCAGTAGCACAGTCAGCAGCCTCCATGCGAGGGTTGATTCACTGGAGAAGTCAAACACCAAACTGATCGAAGAGGTATTGTTTTCTTTTGGGGATGGATAACGTGTTATTCATTCTCCAAGGCTGTTTTGCTAAATAAAGTGTCTTATTCTGCCTAAGGTCTGTATGATGGGTTCAGACACCTTTATTTTGGCCTAAAGGGAAGGTGCAGTAGCTGCAGGCATTTGAAGCCAGCTTGCCTAGGGAGGCTGTAACATCAGTACATTAATTCTGTATGACTTTGCAGTTTCCAACTTCTGGACCAAACGAGAAGAGAATCCTTTCCTAATGCCAGCTGTCAGCCTGATTTTGTGCAGATGACTAGTCCAGAATGGATGGCACCAGTTGCTACAAAGAGACAGAAAGTAGTTCACCGAGCAATTTCTGTTCCTCAGTTTTAGCCAAAGGATTGTTTCTTGCTTGTTTGCTAGGTGCTTATATCGAGCTTTTAGACTGGTCTAGTTCTGGTTTTATATTTATATCCTATATTTCTCCTTATCTTTGATGCTTGACTAGATTCCAGTGTTTTTAGTTTTGTAAGAGAGAACATCTTTTTTTTTTTTTAAGTCCGAGCTGCTTGAGAAATAGTTAATGAAGTGGCAAATTGAAAACTCGAAATGCAGCTGTGGAAGGGACTCTGGGTATAATGTATCCAACCAGAGGGAAGACATTGTTTCTGAGTGTCAATTCTCGGAGTGTTCTGGTTCCTTTACAACCCAGCTCTCACCTGTTTTGCTCATTATAATTCTGACGTTAAGGTGTATTCTGTAGGGCCCAGTTATAAAGTGTCATCTGCTGTAAATATGTTTGCTTTGCTTTCCTATGTGAATTGCTCCATTTGATACATTAAGATGTCTAAAAAAGAGAATAAAACTGGATGAACTTGAAGTCAAATGGAAGCAAAAAACTGAGGATGAGGAAAGGGAACTGAGGGTCATAATGAAGCAAGGAAAAGAAAGCACGTTCTTTGCCAGCCAGGGAATAATGAAGTATCTTGAATACTCATCCTGGTGTGTAATGGAAGTGACTCAGTACTGAAACCAGGGGCTTTGTTTTCTTCAAAACAATTAATCCTCTGTTTGGTAGGTGAGAATAGAGCAGAGGATGTCTTGGCCTTGCATTTATCACAACATTTTTCCCTTTATTTCTACCCACAGTAGTGATCACACTGCTTTGCTTTTGTTTGTTTGTGTTTTCATTTCAGTTGGCGATAGCTAAAAACAATATAATTAAACTCCAGGAGGAAAACCATCAGTTAAGGAGTGAAAATACTCTGATTTTAATGAAAACACAGCATCATCTAGAGGTATGTTGGTCTCACCACATGTAACGTCGTGGCGTTGTGTTTGTACATCTCAGCCTGAAGGAAGCTGTGACTTGGCCAAATCTGAAACAACTTTCATCAGGGAAAGGACCTGTTAGAAGGCAATACTGTCTGAAAGTCATGTCAAAACAGGTTGTGTTTTAGTTGCAGACTGTCTGTGTTGGCCTGTCTCGTTGTGTTTGGAGTTGCTGTGTGTACAAGTGCTGAACTTGTCTTTCCAGCTGCAATTTGCAGCTCCTTCTGTAACTCCTCGTACATGTTTCCCAGGATAAGGGGTAAAAGCCCAGGCTAAGCAGGTGTTTGGATTGCTCAGGACTGAAACAGTTGTGTGTTGAACTGACACAGAAGGAGGACATTGCTGAATTATAGATGTTCCTTTTGTTATCTTTAATCAATTCTCATTATAGAAGTGATAGTCATGGGGCAGAAACAGCTCTCTCCGTGTTCGTACTCTGCTTGGACAATTACTTGTCAGCTTAATTTTGTTTCCCCTAAACCTGTGCTATTGATTGCTGTACTTGTGATGGAGAAAGACTCTCTGTATCTTTGCAGGCAACTAAAGTGGATGTTGAAGCAGAACTTCAGACCTACAAACACTCCAGGCAGGGCTTGGACGAGATGTACAGTGAAGCTCGCAGGCAGCTTCGGGAGGAGTCCCAGCTTCGACAGGTGAGTGTTACTGCCTGTCATAAAAAGGGGTTTTCAACAATCAGCACATCAATATTTTTATAATAATGTTGCTGAAGAATAGTACAGAAAAAATATTTTTCTTTGAGGAATTTTAGGTTAAGTTGTTAGCAATACTTTATGCTCCTGTACCTGTGCTGAATCATTCATGTGAAAATATAAATACTTTCGTTCTGGGTTTGTAATTAATACTGAGGCAAGTGTGCAGCACTGACAGGGTAATTTTTTATCATGTGAATTGTTTTCTCCTGAACTTAAAAATCCCCACTGGTCACTCAGTAGATGAGTGTAACATTTATTTAGTGGATAATGTGCAAAATGGAAGAGGGGCAGAATTTTGGACGGGCTGCAATAGGTGGTGCTGCTGCTCTGAGTTTGCTTCCCAGGGTTTTTTCAAGATAGAGCGTTACACAGTTCTTTAATTAGTCTGTGTTGCACTGTGCTTGTGTTTTATAGGATATGGAGAATGAGCTGGTGGTTCAAGTCAGTATGAAACACGAGATAGAGCTTGCCATGAAGCTGCTGGAGAAGGACATCCACGAGAAGCAGGATACCCTCATCGGCCTCCGCCAGCAGCTTGATGAAGTGAAAGCAATTAATGTGGAAATGTACCAAAAGCTGCAGGTAAAACTGCTGCAAACAAACCAAGAGGGAGGAATGCGTTGCCACTCTGGTCAGTTAAATATGCTGTTCCCTTGGGTTTTGGTTCCCGTAAGCTCCTCAGGTCAGTGTGACATTTTGGAGCATTGCCTGTGCAAAGGTGACTTCACACAAAGTTCTGAGGGCAGTCACTGGGTGGGATTATGGAAGAAAAGAGGGTGGGGATAAGATCATGGCCTAATAACAAGCTGTGTGAAAGAGAGACAGTAATAGTGCATCTGTATAATGACTTTTTTTGGCCTGTCTTGTATTAAAAAAACAAAAGAATGTAGGCACGTAGTGAGGAGTTAAAGAGAAAACATGACCTTTTCAAGCAAGGAAAGGAAGACAAGACTGTGTTAAGTGGATAAAAGTAATCACAGTTTTGAGGTTTTTTTTCCTTTTAAAAAATCTTTTATTTTGTCATCAGATTTAAGAAAATCTGTAACAATGCAATGCCTTTTTGGGAGAATATGGGTCTCAGAGACTCCCCCTGCAGTGAACAGATAGCAAAACACTGGGGAAGTTTACCAGTGAATTATTAATGCAGAACATGACTTTGTTTTAGGGAATGAATTACCCAAACCAGCACAAGAAACTAGTCAAATCTGTGACAGAATGAGGGGGAAAAATCAAGATGCTGCAGAGAGATAATTGAGGTGATGGACAAAAAATCCTACTTTTCCCCCTGCAATTGTTAGGAAACTGGACCAGAGGAAGAGAAATATAAGTAAAACTGGAAAGAAAAACGAGAAGGGGATGTTCTTCAGTGTATGGGTCTGTGGGGTTTGCATTTGTAGGAGAACCTTAGTGATTTTCAGGACTAAGCATCTTGGCTCTTCACTGATAAGGTAACAAAACTACAGATTTTGCAGGCACAGAATGTTAAGTACTTGTCAGCAAGGGGTTTTTAGAAGGGAATGCTTAAAAGTAATCAAAACATGAAGTCATTGCAACATTTTCCCCTTCAGACACTGAAGCAAAAGCCCCCATGAGGTAGCAGTGCAAAACACACCCTCTTCAGTTTTGACCTTTTTTGTAACACAGGTTTCTGAAGATGCTATGAAAGAAAAGAGTGAAATAATTAGTCGATTAGAGGATAAGACCAATCAAATTAATGCAACTATGAAACAACTAGAACAAAGGTACAGCCTCATCTCTATTTCTCTTCATTCATCACTCCATCCCCTCACATTTTCCTGCATTCCTGCACAGCTGCCACTGAAATGTAACTGTCAAGTAGAGCATTTAAAATGAACCTTTCTGAAACTTCAACCAGTGCTTTGCCCTTTGGTCTTTTCTTCTGTTTAGCAAACACAACTTACTTGAAATACAAACTTGCTCTTTCAGTTTTCTCCCTACACCACCTTTCTTCTGGTCCTAGGTTTTTGTGCTGATATCAAAAGCTGCTCTTTCAGTTGTTGCAAAATTATGATTCATTATTACCTATTTTTTCCCTCACCTGAATGAAATGCAATAGAAACTGAAGCATTAATCTTGTACTTAAGCATGTGCTTAATATAAGCATTTAATGCCTTCAAGGATCACTGGTGTACTTACTGAAGCTGTTACAATTTTGTCCATTGCTTTGGAAGTGCCATTATTTTCAAAGACCTAATGAGTTTTCACATTGGAAGGTTGAAAAGTGAAAGACTAAAAGTCCAGAATATAAATTTACATTACAGTTAGACTGCATGTACTACATGATGTTAAAATATGATTCATATGTTTTAATTTAGTGGCCTTATATGCAACATTGACCTTTTTAATTGTAAAATATAACATATCCATGAGCCCTGTCATGTTGGTGTTTGACATGTCTTTTTTTTTCATTTAAATCTGATTATGAAAAACATGTATTAAAAAAAAAAAATTAGTGACATGAATATTCTTTTATTGACATCCTTTTTCCCTCTTTTTTCTTTTTCTTTTTATCCTTTATCCCAATTTTCGTTTTTTAATGTTTTGCTGCCTTTCATCTGTCTTTGATTTTTGTCCACTGCATTCATGAAGTGACAAAGATCTGTTAACTCAAACTAGGACTATTGCAATGTCATTCGTCAAATGTGCCAGCAATGAAGCTCAGCACCAGTATAAGCTTGTCAAGGATATATCATTCTGAAAGCTCCTCCTCCCCTGCTGTCTCCAAATAGTTACTGATGAACTAGACCTTCAGAACTTTAAAATTCAGACTTTAAAGTGGTGGTATTAGAAATCCTGCACTGTAACTGGTTGTAGCTGGGTTCTGTTTTGCTTTCTGGAGGAACATGACCTCCCATCTCACTTTACCCCTCTTAAAAAACCAGTAAATTCCTGCACTATTACTAAGCAAATGTGAGCTAGTTTTCTAATGCTATTTAATCACTTCTTAGTTGTCAAACAAAGTTTATTTTGAACGGTTAGATACCTTTTTCCCTGCTTACTGCTGTCAGTTGTAGGCTGTATTTATCCCCCCCAAGCAGGCTCTCTGTGGGGTGCTGTGGTTGTAACAAGCACTGTTTTCTAACCCAGAGCGACAGGAGTTTGAGGGCAGAGGAGTTGAGTGTTCTATCAGAACAATGTGTGTGAGAAGAGAAGGTGTTGCCAACATATGTTCTGTGTGTACAGGGTTTGGGGGTAAAACAGCTAAAGCACAATTCCATTTTGCTGATGTCACGTGGTGAAATATTGTCATGGAGCCTGGCTTGGGTGGGACTGCAGGCAGGAGGGACAGCAAGTGCTGGAGCTGTGCCTCCTGCCCAGAGCAGCTGCACCCTGCTGGCTGCTGGGAAAGGGGCAGTGATAAATAGGATTTAGAGTTAGGGCCTAGCCCCTGAACTTGTCCAACTGGTTTGTCAGCTGAGGATCTGCCTGGCTGTGTCAGCATCATCATCAACACCTGTGGGAGTGCCCAAAGCCCTTTCTCTCCCTCCACCCATCACTAGGCTGCCTTTACGACTTGAATTTCTGCTGGGAGTTGCTGCTTGGCTGCACTGCAGAAATAAGAGAGTTTAACCTCCTGACTGCCCCTGATACACTTCCTGATGTTTGCTCTGAAATTTGGAGTGCAGGTTGACTGGGAAAGTCATCAGGTCTTTCAGCAGAAGGGGATGTGTTTGCCAAAGCGGGGGCAGGACACAATAATACAGAAAGGTTTCTACTCCGTGGTTTGGTACTGCCTTATTCCTTAGGCTGGAGTCAGAAAGAGCCTGTAACATGGGCTGGCTCCTGAAAATGAAAAGTAAATATCCTCCATCCCCAAAGAGAACCCAAAGGAGAGCAGTGGGTGGGCCATAGCAGAATTGGGAGCACTGCCTACCTGACTGTCTGTGCAGTGTCTGCCCCAGGACCATGGGGGTGGCCAGTGCAGCTGCAGGCTGGGCCAGCTCAGCCTGGGGGTGAGTGCCAGCAGTGCAGGCAGGCCCAGCACCCAGGGCTGCAGCTTTGGGGCAGCACAGCCCTTTGTGCCTTGCCTGTGCAAACTGCAGTGGAGTAGACTTTGTGATTTAGGGCAGGATTTAACTTGCTGTTACTGTTCATGTCCTGTAGCTTCATTCAGCCTCTGCACAGGGCACTGACCTGCCTTTCCCCTGTGTTCTCCTTGCCCTCTGGGCACGACCACTGCAGGTGTGACTGGGAGCATTCCCAGCCCCTGGGGCAGCTGAGACAGTGCCCACTGGATAAGATGGTTTAATTCCAGCCTGTGTTCACTCTTTTACTGGCAGCTTTTGCAAACTCCTGCTGGTGCATCAGCAGAAGCCCAAATGCAAACATATTGCTGACTTACCTCTTTTCAGCTGACACCGGAGTCGAGTTGCTCTGTGTTGAGGCAGCTGCTGGCAGTGAGAAATCAAGCATCTCTCAGATTTCTCCCACCCCTTACCTGAGAGGCCCCTAAACAGTTTTGCTAAGTGGGATGCAGCAGGTGGGGACATTCTGTGGCATTTCCTAGGCTCTCCCTCTCTCCTGCCTTTTCCCCAGGCAGGAGCAGCCTGGCACAGCACAAGTCCCATTGGAGTACATTCCCTTTAAATCCATCTTTTTTTTCTACACTAAAGAGGTGACCAAGCAGAGAGGACCCACAGTGAACTAAGGGGTTCCAAGGGCAGTGTTAGCTGACCCAGGCACAGACCCCTGGAATTCAGTAGGGAAGGATTAAATAAAAAACCCCAATCCCTCGTTTCTTGACGAATCGTTTTTATTTGTCTATAATATGGAGCTATTTTAACCAGTGTAAGAATGCGTTATTTTTAATACAGATTATTTAAATTAATTTAAGAGTATGATGTGGTCGAGGTAGTTCTCTAAGTGTAGTGGGACCTTTGATGTCTTAGGCTAGTCAAGTTTTTTGCTGTGTGATTGCAGTGCTCTGTATTCAGCCTTAAGCCTCAGTTGTTTTGAGCTGCTTTTGCACAACACATGCTCTGCCCCATCCTAATGGGTGACTGGTGTGAGCCAAGTACTCCACAGGATTTATCTGGGGGGCAAAAAGAAAAGCTTCAAAAAAGAACCACGTGAAGGAACGCTAAAGGAGAAAGAAAAGCATCAAGTTCTGTGCTTTAATTCAAGCTATGTATCATCATGCTTTGGCACCTGTTACTCATGAGCAGAAAATAAAGCAGTGATTACTGGCAGTGCTTGCTCTCTGACTGTGAGAGTTCTGCAGTTCTCGAGGCATTGGATGGATTTCTCGTTTGAGTTTGTGAGCTTCCCCCAGGCTTTGTTTTTATTTAGAAATGTTCCTATTTCCCCATTTTTCTTTTATTTGTCTTCTTCACCCTCTACACCCTAATTCTAGCTTCAGTTTTACCCAAAGTTGATTTGAATTACACCAGATTGCAGCAAGCAGAGAAGGCCCAAATGGAGGCTGAGGCCGAGGATGAGAAACTTAAGCAGGAATATGTGAATAAATCTGAAAGTCTGCAGAAGGAATTCTCCCAGAAGGAGAAACAGCTGTGAGTATGGCTTTGCTGTTTGGAAAAACACATGGCAGTAAACATTCTACATGGCAATATGTCCTGTGTCCTGATCCAGGCTGGTTACTGAGAAATGGTTTTTAACAGAATGTAAATACTAAAGATCTTACTGAGAGGTATTGGCAAGGCAGAAGAAAAGATGCCATTCCAGGAAAGTCAAGCTGGCTTTGAGTGCCTCTAAAATGATGTGCAGCTTGAAAGGAAGGGGAAGAACAGTATTATTTTTTTTTGTCTAAAATTGCCAGCTTAATTCAGGAGGAAATTACCCTAAATGGGGAAAACTACATAGTGTAGTAGCAGTAGTAATACACACTCTTAACAAAACCCACGAGTATGGAGTAGGATAAACTTACACAGAAGTGGCATAAGAATAGTTTGGTTGATCTGCTTGTGAATAAGATAGAAGTGGTTTAACTTACACTGCACAGGAAAAAAAAAAAAATCCACCCAAGTCATAAAAGTTCAAAATTAATGTAAAAGCCAACCCTTTAGTCTTTCTCCTGTTAAATCATTCAGTACTAATTTAAAGAACTATGGAATGCTAAAAGCTACCTGTAAGGGCAGGTGTTTTCCCTGTTTGGGAAGATAACACATCAATTATTGAAGTAAATCTGTGGCACAAATATTAAATCTTGGTGATTTCCAATCCCATTATTAGCCCTCCCTGCCTCTCTCACAGCTCTGAATGTTAATAACCTTGTTGAACTGTCATGATAAATGTTCACTTTACTGCCCCAGTCATCTCTGCAGATTTGGCCAAAAGAACAGTTCAGACCCCAGGCTCAGAATTCTGCAATTCTGAAACCTCCAGGTCATGTTCACTTCTTCCCCAGCCAGATGCTGAGGTAGTGTCCCAAAATGTAAGTCTTTCCTTTGAAAATGGTTGTGGTTTTAAACCAGGATAATCAATGTGGACACAGGTTTTCCATCAGGAGACCTTGCATGAATACTCTGAGATTTGTTTTCCTCTTGTTTTGGCCCAGTTTACATCTGCAAGGTTTGACCAGTGGGCTTCCACCCTTTGGTTTCTCCATAACATTCTAAACTCCCACTCTTCCATGAAACTGATAGTAAAATTCCAGCTGGAACGGACCTTCCATCAGAGTAGCCTTAATTCCTTTAAACTGGACTTCTGTTAAATTGACAGAATCCACCTCCCTCTTTGTGCTGGACCTCAGTTACCTAGAAATAAAAATGGCCATTTGAAGTCTGTCCTCCTTTATGTTCAGTTCTGTTCAAAATGCCATAAACATTAGTCTTAAATAGAAGATCCACGTTTACAGGTGTAAAATTAAACAACTTCTCTGGGTACCAGAGACATATGCAATCATTGTCTGCATCAGCACTGGCAGATTGGGTGGGTTTATTTTAGAAACAAGCTGTTTAAGGTTAAGGAGGCTTTCACTTATGCATGCTTTAAAAATACTTCAGAATTTTGTGGTTAGGCTTCTCTCATTTATATCAAAGGCCAGCTCTTCAAAATTATTCCATATTCTTGGTCCTTTATGCACACTTATTTTTAAAAGCATTTTCTAAGTGACAGTGCTTTGTTTACTGCACTGATCCATAAAATATTGTTACTTTGATTCATTATTTCTGTTTGGGAAAACTTGTAAGTTAGTAATTTATTATCATAATAATCTAATGAACCCAGAAATAAACTCATCTTTGTTTTTAAAAATTATACCCTTGTGCACAATGATTTTTTTTGCTTGTTTTGTTTTACATATTCCAGGTTTCAGCTGGAAACAGATTTGAAGATAGAAAAAGAGTGGCGGCAAACCTTAGAGGATGATCTTCAGAAGGAGAAGGAAACTGTATCTCATCTGAGAATAGAGACCCAAGAAATAATGAACCTTAAAAAAGTAAATTCTGCAGCAACATTTGACTAGTAATTTAGACACTGACTGCCAAGTTAATTGCGGACTTAGACGTGGTATTTTTAAGAATTTCTGCTAGTAGAAAAGGAAGATTAAATTAATGTATTCTGACAAATAAAATAGGGGAAAAAATGGGGGTTCTACTGTCCATTTAGCCCTCAGATCAGAACTCAGGACTTTGGTTTAATTCTGAGTGGTTGCTGTTCCAAGTTGAACTTGATCCCTCGTTCCCTTGGCCTTCCCAGCACGCTCAGCTCTGGGCAGGAGCAGCTCTTTAGGCAGGGGGCAAATACAACTTGAGAGGAGTTTGGCTTCATTTTACTTTGTTTGTTTTGTTGTAAGGAGTTCCTTAAACTTCAGGAAAAGAACAAGCAACTGAAAGGGATTTGTGAAGACCAAGAAGCTGCTCTCCAAGAACTGGCGTCCAAGCTGAGCGAGTAATTCCGTCATTCGTGGTGACTTATTATTGTCAGATAAACTTGAGTGAGGAACAGCAAGCAGGGGCTCAAGTGTATTAGTCTGTATGTGACAGTAATATTGTTATTTTGGTCACTAACCAGTTAGGAGAAGTGAATGTGTCTAATTAGGTCAGGTCTGTTAATTTTGAATTTTGGCAGCTCTAGAATGTCCCTTTGGTCACCCCCAGTCTTCCCCCAGAGTGGCAGGACAGGGAGCAGAAGAGGCCTTGGCTCAGTGTTTGCTCTGCTCACAGTAACCAACCCTGTGTTCAGCACAGATCCAAACACAGCCCCTCCCAGCCACTGGGAGGGAAATTCCCCCAGCCCCAAGCAGCCCCTGGCAGGGGACTTGGATGCCTCTGGAATATCTTGGGGTGTGTCCTGTGGCTCAGTGGTGAGTGGGTGGCAATGGGTGGCTGTGGGGAGGCTCCACAGTGACACAGTGTGGGCTTGTGCTCCTGTTCAGAGCACTTGACTTAGAATTTTTGAAGTTTGAAACCAACTTCTCAAGTTGTTAGACCATGACTGACCGTGTAGAAGTTTGAAATAGTGTTGTCTTATTCTTTAGATCAAAGCTGAAAATAGAAGATATAAAGGAAGCCAACAAAGCACTGCAGGTCAGTAGTATTGTGAGGAAAGAAAACATATTTTTTTTTTGTTCCTTTTGAAATCTTGACTACCTCAAGCATGTTCTCTTTGCACCTATACTTGCTCTGTCTTATCTCCTCTTGCTTTTGGGTGTTTTGGGGCAGTCCTGTGCTGCTCTAAAGTGTCTTTGTGCCATTGCACTGCTCCCAGAGCACTGAGCAGTTCAGGCAGGAAATGTTCTGCTCTTGGTTTGTCTTGTCCCCTGCAGCCCAAAGTTTAACTTCATCAGGTACATACAATTATGGTAATTTTCCCTCCAGGGCCAGGTTTGGTTGAAGGACAAAGAGGCCACACATTGCAAGCTATGTGAAAAGGAATTTTCACTTTCCAAAAGGAAGGTAAAACTTTTAATAAGATTTCTTCCAACGTGTTTGTAACTACTATAAGAAAAAAATTAATTATCTTAGAGGTGTGCCGTGAAGTTCCAATGCTCAGGTGAATGCAGAGTTATTGTTGAGGTGTCTTTCTAGTTCTTTGATACATACAATGCCCTGGGCCCTAATTTCAAAAGAAACAGTGACTTTTGGTTCAGTGCCACAAAGGAATATTTTAAAACTTTATAATTGTTTAACTACTTTGTGGAATCCTCATCTCAAACACTTGTCAGCTCTGGCACTGTTACAATTTGACGTGTGGAAGTCTTTTTATGACATTTTTTTATACAGTGGAGTTAGAAAATGTGAGTTTATTGTCATTTGAAAGTAAAATGTGGTGGCAATTTCCATGCTTTATTAATGTGTGCATGAATTTTGGTTTTACCTTTTTGTTTAATCTCGGTTTGCTACCTGCCAGAAGCATCCACTGTTGGGAATATCACTGCTCCTCCTATGTTTTTATACAGCAGAAAATGTGCTTCATCCAGGGTTTGAGTGAAATCTGCAGAGCATATGTATCAATAAAAAAGTAATAAGTATTTAAGGCTCTAGAAGTAATAAATATATAAGGGCCCACCCCATCTGTGTGTGGTGCAGCCCTAGATAAACCTGGTCTGTGTAGGATTGCATCATAGTTTGAGATGTGGGTGAATTCCCTTTCGAGAGCTGATTCCATGCTCAGCCCCAAGAAGCGAAAGGGGCCACATTTCAGATTGCTCCCTGTACATTGTTTATTTTTTCCACTTGCCAAGTACATTTCCACTGTAAATTTAAACTTTCAATCTGTCCCCCCTGTTCAGCATCACTGTAGGAACTGTGGCGAGATCTTCTGCAATGCCTGTTCTGACAACGAGCTGCCCCTGCCCTCCTCCCCCAGGCCCGTCCGGGTCTGCGACTCCTGCCACGCAATCCTCATCCAGAGGTGCTCTTCTAACGTGCCCTAAGGTTGTGCCACAAGCTGTTTGTTAGTTCTGCTCTTTAGCTGTTCCTGTAGAAAACCCAGCACCACCTAAGGAATGGACAGAAGTATTCCCAGCCTTCCAGGTAAGCGCTGTGGAGTTGCAGCTTTGAGGTGCTGTGGAGGAGTTACTTCTCTGCTTCCTCTTGAAACCAGCAGAAGAAATGGGACCCCAATGTAGAAAATGCACATGTGGAAAAAAAAACCAAAACAGATGAAGATGTTGGTCTAACAAATGGCTCAGCAGCTCCTCTGGGAGGAGGCAGGGCGGCTTATGAGGAGACTCAGCGTTAACGTGTATTTGGGGGGTATTTTAGTTGTTGAGATGCTCTTGAAAAGGTAATGCACTTCCCTGCTTTTACAGGCTACTCTGCTACGAGTCCAACCTCATCCTGCCCCTCAGTGTGCCTGTGATACGTTGTTGTGAAGCCAAACCGTGCAGTAGCTCGTTTTCAATTGTTTTTTTAAAAAGTGTGGCCATTAATGCAGTGCTCTGATAAGTTCGTGCCAAATTCCGTATCTGTTTACTTTCTCTTAATTACCAGGACTTGAAGCATCCAGGAATATTGCACTGACAGCTCTGCTCTGTGGAGTCACAGGTGGAAAGGGAGATTTTGTCAGGGACCAAGCAGTGCCTCGGGCACTTGCAGAAGGAAGGTGTGTTTTGGTGAATGATTTTTGCAAATGAACTGTTGATTTGATGTGTCTGTGTTTCCATCAGAAGAGAGCTGTCCATCACAACCCTTTTGCCTGACATTGTAACTTTGAGTGAATCTCTGCATTATTTTCGTGCCAGTCACGCTCTCAGCCTCTCCATGTAGTCAGTGTGTAGCTCTGGAGACACCAGGACAGCCTGGGATTAAATACCAGGGACCACATCCTTTCTGTGGCAGACAGGAAAGTTCTTAGTTTGTCACCATCTCTCTCCAACTTTCAGAGTTTGTTCCTAAACCTCATTTTTTTTGCAGAGCACCTTTTGAGCCCCCACTCTGTGGGCACTGACGAGCCCTCAGCAGAATTAGCAGCTCCTTCAGCCGTGGGCTTGGGGCATTCCCACCAACAGCAAAAGGGAGGCTTGGGAACAATCTTCTGGTTGTCTTTGCACTTTGTTTAGCTTAGCTCTGTCTCTGAGGGTAGGGATTTAGTTAATATCCTAATATCTAACATAGCTGTTCTTTTCAACACTCAGTGTAGTTGCTTATGTAGCTTTTGTATAGGAAAATGTTTCTAAAATTACTTGATGTAACTTTTTGTAAAGTACTGGACAAATACTTGTAAATGTGTAAATAACTTTTGGAAAAAAATAAATTTAATTGATCTGCAACTTAACTAAGGGAATAATGTCACTTTATTTAAGTTTGTAATTGAGAGAATTTTATTTATTTATTTTCTTTTATTACCACTTGTTTATGTTGCTTAGAAAAGCATTGCCTGTGCTGGGGATTGGGGAGCTACCCTGCTAAAGACACAGTCGAGTGCTGCTTGTGTTCCTCCTGAGAGTATTCCCAATGTTTTGCAGTGGGCATGGAAGCAGCAGGGGTTGATGTAGGTGATGCTAATCTGTACTGCTTTAATAAGTAACGTGTCCAAAAGATGCAACTAAACCACTAAAACTGGCAACTTTTAAAAGTGGATTTCCGTAAGACACAATAAATTAAATTTCTGTTACTTGACTGCTATCTTTTCCTCTCCCCTGTGCTACCCTCTTTACAAGGGGAAGTGTGCAATTACTCAGATTGTTTTTACTGTCTCCAGGTAACGTTTCTTCCTTGAACAAACTGGTGAATGCTGATGTTCCCTTGCATTCAAACTACATACCTGGCCTGCTTTTAAGGTTTTGGGGCCACACCGTGACTAATGCTGTATCTTTGTGTTTCTGTAAAAGCCTGCTCCTAGACTGATTCTAAATCCTCCTCACCAAGCACAGAAGAGTTGTGAGGTACCAAGAGGGTCTGTAACTGTTCTGACAGGTTCAGAGGAGCCTTTTATTCCTACTGGGAAATGAATTCTGCCTTCCTGCACTGGGGTGTCAGCAGGTACAGAGAAAACATGCTCCTCCTCCTGCTGCTGCTGCTTCTGCTCCCCGCCACAGGGATCACGGGAGCTGCACCCACTTCCCCACCAAAGGGGGGTCACTTACCATGCTGGCACCTGCTGCTTGGAAGGGATTCCTGGCACCAGCAGCCAAGCACTGCAGCTCCAGGGCTGGAACACACCTGGACACAGCCATGAACCCCTACAGCTGCCTGGGCAAGCCTTGCTCACAGCTTCTCATCCCCACAACAATTCCTCTGCAATGTAAATGCTGCTCAGGTGAGATGGGAAGTTCCTGCCTGAACGCTGCTCTCGTTCCAGGGTGAAGGGACGGGCCAGGCCCGAGGGATTCCCTGCCCAGCACTGTGGGACTGCACTCGCCGGGGCTGGAGCCGGAGTGCTCTGTGCAGGTGGCCTGGTTGGAAGAACAGCTCAAAGCAGGGCCCCCCTGCTCTCCAGAGGTGAGTCCCAGCAGGTGTCAGGTGTCCCCAGTGAGGCAGAGCTGGCAGGCTTTAAGCCCCTGCTGTGCCCAGACCAAACAGGCTTCTTTCAGCACACTCTGCTCTCTGCAGCAATGTGGCTTCCCTGCAGCTGGTTAACCTAACTCTTGTCCTGACCACTGCCATTTACAACATCTCTGTTCTCAGCACCAGAACAAGAACCCCCTCGGTCTGAAGAGCAGAGAGTTCAAATGGTTACAAACTCCTCTTCCCTCCCCTTCCTGGCCAAAACTGCTGCAGTGCTTGGAAAGCTTCCTATGCCAGTTACCCTTTCCAGCTCTTACTTCCAGTCCCTTTGACCCCCCAACACATTCTCTGGTGAAATAAACTCCATTCTCCTCTCTCCCACAAGAAGACATTTATTACAGATATAACACAGTACTAGCAAAACAGGTGACAGACTTCCAATACCCAAGATCACATTTGACATTTTAAGGGAGGCATTGAGGACAAAGCAGTTAATTTGGGAGATCACACTGGCTCAGAAGAATAAATACCTTTTTCCATTACACATCAGGTATGTTAAGTGTCTTCAAACAATAGTTTCTTACATATCTTACATGTCACAAACGCACAGAAAGTTTATTGTTTGGGTTGTGTTACTGAATAGTGTTGGGCCTACAGATATTTTAAGAGATCTTGGCTTCTAAGGAGCTCATCTGTAGAAAAGCTTGGCAGATTTTGAGCAAATACAGACAAGTCAGCTCTGAGCAGCAAAAAAAAGCTGAACCGTGTCTAAATACAATAAATTCAAGAAAGAAAAGAAGTCGAACTTGCTTCCAACTCCCCCACTCTTGCTGAAAGCATGTTTGTGAAAAAAATACTAAGAAAAAGCTTCCAAGTGTTTGACCTACGTCATGTTAAGGAAAAGCTGTGCTAGTGTCTCGGGCTGCTTTGCAGGCTACGTGTGTGAAGTGCAGGCTCTGGAGCTACAGCAAAGCATGGAAATGAATGTGGTGCTTGGTTCTGTGGAGCAGAAAGCAGAGGTACTGCTCGTTCACACAGGTGTGGAGCTGGTGGTGGTGGATGTGGCAGCAGAAGGAAGGAAGGAAGGCAGAACAATGACTTTCAGCCTCCACAGCTTTATGCTGTGGTGCAATTATTACATACAACTTATCAAAAGGGTTTAGGAAAGGCTTTAACCAAATAAACTAAGCTATGCATCTATCTTTTTCCCCTTAAACAAGTGAATGTTTCAAATTTGTTCACTAGACCAAGATTACACAGAACTCAATCAGTGTTCATAGGAGTTACAGTACAACCACCTCTATGGAACCATAAGTACAACAACTTAAACCGACTGCAGCCTTGAATATGTAATACATCCTTAGGAGTAACTAGTATAAAAAGTATCAACATCAGTGGTTTGAATATAAAAATTTATTTAAAGTCAGAGTATGCAACAAATAAAACCTACAGAAAACAGATTTTCCCATCACAATCTGTTGCTTACCAAATAATATTGTGAAAACACATTCCTTCAGTCATTATAAAGTTCTTAAAATACAAAAGAAATTAAATTTTGTAAGAAAGTCTAGTAGACCAGAGACTGTTTCTTCCAGGGTGTTTTGCAGAAGCAAGGCTATCCTTCAATACATCCCACGCCATCCTCCTCCACCCATACTGCCTTGCCCATAGTATCCTCCACTATTTCCACTGCCACGACCTGCAAACAATTGACACAAGGTCACGCATACATACCTTGAAAAAAGAAAAAACGGGATGGGTAATGCAGCAGGTGACAACTGACACTAATGCTACTCCAGCACCGCTCCCCTAACCAGCAGCTGCTGCAGCAGCACAAGGTGTGAAGGCCCGAGTGCTTCACAGTTTGAATGATTTACTGCCCTCCTTCCTTCCCCCCAGCCCAAAGCCCACCCCTGCCCAGTGTGTGCCAGCAGACAGGCACAGCAACCCCGTCCCAGCAGACACACACAACAGAGCCCGCACTTACTGTATCCGCCCAGGCCGTCGGGAGTTCCGTACCCGCCGCTGTAATTGCTGCCCATGCCCATCCTACCGACCGAGCCGTAACCTTGATCTGCAGAGCCAAAAGGGCACCGTTACAAGGCTGCAACTCACCAGACCTGGCAAAACATCAGCTAAGTGTGCAATCCATGCGTACCCATTCCATCTCTGCCGTAGCCTCCCATTCCAGAGCCACCTCCAGCAGTGGAATTCAGGAATAGTTCAATGTATCGATGCTCTGCGGGAAGCAAGAAAGCCTTACTTAGCATTTTGTTTCGCAAAGTGCCCCCCACCCGCTCATTCGGAGGGGAGGGAACAGCGCAAGGCAGTGGGTGTGCCACGAGCCAAGGGGTGGGCCTGCTGGAGCCGCCCCTGCTGGAGCCCAGCCCACGCAGCCAGGAAACACGACACTCACGCATGTGGTTCTTATCCTTAGACATGGCAGCTACCGCGTCCTCGTGTGTCACAAACTCCACGTCTGCCT